AACGCATGGTAAATTTCCACATTGTTTTTAATTAAAAGTTATAACAAAATCAATAGTCCAAATAATAGAATTTTTGCACATAAAATTATATGTAACAACTAAATTTTTATTTTACTTGAAAGAATAAGATAATAAAAATAACATTACTTAAATTTTTTCCTGTATTATTTGTCAAAAGTTTTTTAGTGTTACTTTGCTCGTGCATTTCTGACTTGAAAAATTTATAAAATCTAAAGTAATATTATTTTTGGCGAATATTTTCGACGTTGCTTGATAATAAATTTTGCAACATTGATCTTTTTTCGTTTACCTCCTCTCTCTGAAGTATCTTATTCGTTGCATAAAATTTTATGAAAATCAACTTTCAACCAAAACATCGTTTGCCTGATATAAACATCATCCGGATCTTCTCTTTCTTCGTTTTTTGCTTCTGCCTTTTTTCTCTTTGTTGCTATTTTCTTGCCTCGTCATTTATGCATCTCTCCATATCTATTCAGAAAAACTCGTTATGACGAATGTAATTTGTACTTTGAAGTCTAATTAATGCGCAAATAATGTGAAAGTACAGAGAACTAATTTCATTAATATTCCATGACGAAACAGATGTTTTTAACGTCGGAATAATCCAGTTTACCACATCTACGCCAATCCGTTTTTCCAATCGAATGATACATAAAGAGAAAGTATTTTAATAAAGAAATACACACATATATATATATATATATATATATATATATATTTTTTTTTTTAATACCAAATCTTTAATTAATTAATTAAAATACTATAAATTCAAATATTTTGTTTGAAATCTTTCCCTCTTTCTCTTTTGAAGAATAATCATGAATTATAAATATTATTTTCCTAAAATATGAAGAAAATTAAGAGATAATCGTAAGCATTTACTTGGTATTTTTTTATAGAATAAAAATCATAAAAGCTGACATATATAGCATGATATAATAAATACGATAAAACAAAAAATGCTCTGATTTTAATCAGATTCTATCCATTAAGATCATACGCGTGCATGAACGTATATACAATATTTCGCTGATATACCAGATTTTTCACGTTAGCGTGCAATCAATATCGATCAATACAGTTCGCAGCGTGCACTCACGATATAAAGCAGAGAAAAATACCGAAAATCCGTATATGTTCTTCACCATACTGGTCACATGGTTAACATGAACTAGAAAGGCAAGGTCAAAGGATCATGGTGTAGCGTAGCGAGTTCTATAGAGAGGAAGAATAGTATATAGGTATATATGGTGCATATACACACACATATATATATATATATATATATATATATCGGAAATCGATGCATGTGCCTGCCTGTTGCCACATTGCAAACGCATTTGTCCGATTTCATGAATGCATGTATTGCGCATCGCGTTCTTTCTGTCTCTCATACATGACCTGTGACTTCACGCATGACAATTCGCCGCGATTTATCGTCAATTTTGTTTCGCAATCGCGAAGGCGTTTGATTAATCATCTTGGTGTGAATTAGGATGATTTAGTTTCTTCAAATGCGAAAAATTTTTTTTTTAATTCGTGTCACAATAATAATTATAATAAAGTGTCGAGTATGTTTTTTTTTTGCAACAAAAACTCGTAAAACGATTATAAAAAATATGTGATATTTTTTGACATTACTAATTTATAAAAGTAAAAAAAAGTGTAAAAGGACAAGACATCTCATAATAATGTAGCTAACTACAAATATTTTTGAAAAATTAGTACTTATAGTTTAATTAATTTTATATCTGTATTGCATATACATATACGGAGACTGTCAAATATGATGCAATTTGAATAATCTGGATGTAATCAAACCTGTATCTATTAGCATGCGATCGATAGATACTTAATAAACACTGAATTCCTGGTTAGACGCATCTCTAGTTAAGCAAGCCGCTTTAATGATATTATCTTCTGATGCTATTAAGATCATCATTGCAAAACACATGCAACTTATAGGGAAAGTAAATAATCTAAAATATAATCTATTCTCGAATCATATTTTTCTTATCACCTTAAAAAATATCTTTGTCTATTTATGCGTTTAGTTTCTATTATTTTATCATATTTATATTACAATATAATAATTTAACTTTATTCTTCTAAATCATTATTTCAATGTACTTCATCAAATAAATACAGTCTTTATAAATTAAGCAAAGATGTTTATTGGTAATGCTATGTATATCACCATCAAAACATCCGAGATAAGATTTTTTTTCATTATATATATAGCATATATAATCATCTTATTATTTTAGTCTTTTATATATTTAAATATCAGCAGAATACAGACTTTATCATACAGTTTGTTAGGATGATTATTTCTCGATTAAATTACAATATGTTTTCACACATATATAACTGTTCAAGATATTTCATTGATTTCGATTTCTCGCAGATATTTGACGAAGAGAGATAAAATAAATTATCAAATTTTATCAAAAATAAATTCTTGCTTAATGTTAACAAATAATATTATATTTTATATATACTTTATTCCTAAAATCATTACACAGCATGCGTTTTTATCTTATCAAATATGTATATTAAATATACGATAATTAAGAAATATAATTTCGTAAATAATTTCAGATAATCAAAATCACAAAATCGTAGTTACAATCTTAGAAATATATTTGCGTTAGAGCAATTAAAAATGTACACTAAAAAAGCTCTTTAATTAAAATATATATATATATATATATATATATATATACATATATATATATATATATATATTTGATCAAGATTAAAAAATTTTATTGCAACTGATAGGTCTTTATTACAATACTACTGCTTGACAATAATTTAAAACTGTTTTATTTAACCCGATTAAGTTTAATAATCAAATGCATTTTAACGCATTTTGAATTTTGATGCGTTTTTAATTGTAAGTGTATGTAATGACATAGTTGAGAAACAATTTAAAAATATTGTATCTTTTTAATAATATCACAAGACACTTTTCGCAGTTTCAAAATACCTTTTTATTTTGAAGTAATATTTATAGAGTAGATAATAACTAGAGATGTATATTTTTATAATAAAAAAAAGAGAGAAAAAATTCTTTATATTTTACTGATATAAAATTCTTCGTATTTCACTGACCTTTTAAAAAAATTATGTTCATAAAAATTGTATTGGAAAATCGAGACTTATTAAAATATAAGACAATAAATAAGATTATTAATACATAACTGAAGTTAAAATAATATTAATAATAACACATATTACGAAAATAAAATTAGAAAAAGTAAATATTATAAAATAAAACATATAATTGAGTCTAAAAATCATCACATTTTTTGAGAGCAGTGCATAAACGATTGTGTTAATATGCAATAAATAATAAAAATATATTGTATCTATATAAATATGAATCTTTATTTATTTTTATTTTATATATATTTTATTTTTGTTATATCCTTATATTGCATTATTTTTAAACGCAAAAATTAGAAATTTGTTTATAAAAGATAAAAAAAGTCATAGTAAATATTAATTAAATTTAATTTTTAAAGAATATTTTATGAAAATATTTTTTACGAAGCACAATAAGTGATAAAATCGTAGCTGAAGCAAAGATTAATTATATTTCTTTATTGATTTGCCAGCTAATTCCATCTTTATTGTTCAACTTTTTAAGCATGTATACAGTATAGATTACCATATGCGAGCGAAACAAGGAAAAAGCGCAATGTAATTAGCGTAAACTTTTGTGCTCATTTAACTTTTAAACTCCGAAGTAAAACTATCTAGGCAGAATGCTTGAAGATTAAAATGATTCGTCACAGTTTAATTATATATTTTTTTATTTAAAACGCGTCTCACAATTTCAGTACTGAATTTTGATTTATTTTTCCTTTATGTTTTTATTTTTGCGCAATTATGTCACTTTAGAAATAATAACTTTAAAAATAGAGAAAATATTTTCTGGGCCAAAAGCATTTCTTTCAAATTTTATAATGAGACGTCGATAGTGTGTCACTTTTTGAATTATCCTGATACAAGAGAAAAATATTGCTTTACATCTTCTACAAATCTTAACTATATTCTTATACGTAATACTTTTTATTTTGATAAGAGCAGAACAAAAAAATCGATAATATGATAAGTTTTGAAACAAGTTTTGTAACAGTTAAAGAGGGTCTGCTTTTCCAATTCTATTGTGTTACGGATGTATCTTTTAAATGATGACTAAATCTGCTACAAACAGTAGAATAAAATGGAAATAATTTCATTTCCCTTATAATCTTCTTAAAGTATTCTTATAAATTTTTAAGGGTTTTTGTCAATGTTGACGTAGAAAGAATGCCTATATAATTATTATATATTTTTTAAGAGAAATATGTGTAACATTGATGTTGATTGCAGTTTGTATAACTTATATTTAATGTACATTTTTAAATATATATAAAATATATGTAAAAGTATATACCTATATACCTATATACCTATATATATATATATATATATATATATATATATATATACATACACACATATATGTAAATATTGTTTACATAATTTAGCATATATATATAAAAATATCGTGTGTTTTGAAAAAAATTTCTTATTTATTGTAAATATTTCAACAATAATATCGCACTAATAATTTAATAAATTTGATGCTTTTGATCCAAGCATAAACAAAACAATTTTTTATAGTAAATTTTTTTACATTATATATATGTATATTGGAGTCTATTGCGCGCATTGCACTTTTATATTAATTAAAATAAATTAACTTTTTTTAATTATTAAAATATTATACAATGTAAATTTTATTATATTATTTTATTAAAAATATTATTTTTAATTGAAATTGTTTAATCAAAAGATATAAATTGAGGCTATACTTTCTTTTTGTGATATTTTCTCTTAATAATAATAATAATGTTCATATGTTCATAATGTTCATATTAATGTTCATGTATAAATTATACTCACATTATACATTCGCGATTCAGAAGCAGTTTATTTGAATACAGACACGCACCAAACAATGATTTTACCAGCAGCGACAAATATTCCTCACTACATAATTCTACACCTCTCAGATACATGCAGATGGCGGTGTTGAACAAGTCTGTGGTTAGTTAGCATCTTACAGAAAACGCTAGGATAGCTACTTTCAGGCCTTTCTGCTATTGGCTAGAAATTTCTAGTTATTCAATATCAGCCAATCAGTGACGTTTTGTCGCGTGTGACAAGTGAAATATTTGATCTATGCTACGTCTATCTTGATTATTCTACGGCTGTGTCGCGGGTGATTGTTGACAGTCAACTGCCGTAGTGAACGGGTAGGCTACGCACAGCTGGGCGCTTGATACATTGAACGCTCTTTCCTTTAATCAGCGGCACTGGAGCCTCGTCCGCCGTACGCGTCTCGACGCAGCCTGGTCCAGGCAACTGCGTACCCTGACCATCATCACTCACCGCGACAGATCGAGTCGCTTCGTCGTAGGAGTGGACAGACTCCAGAAGTAGGAAAAATGAGGTATTTATCACCGTGCGAGACCTGCTGGCAACTCAACCATCATTTTCACACGCGTCTCTCCTTGCGCGTGCATCTCTCCGCGGGTGTCTAATTCGTCGCCGCTGTCGTCTGAATTTACATCCAATTTGTAATCTCGAACGAGAGCGTGCGCGAGAACCCGCGTGATGGCTACTCGGTGAAACGCGAGCGAGAGTGCACGGGCGGTAAGGTATAAAGCGCGTCCACATTTGTCTTTGTCGCCATTTTTCCCGCGCTGATGTTTCCGTTCGTCGATTCGCGCCTCGTGCAATTATTATTTGTAGACATCTACAGATCTCTTCGAGCAAATTTCCTCGTCGAAAAATTGAATCATTTCCTGTCATTCTTGACGACGAGTATCTGTGTCGATTTTTTTTTTTTTTTTTTTTTTTATTTAAGCACCTACTGTACGTCTATTATTGTATGCGAAAGTGTCACAGCTATGGCGGGTTGCATATACAATGTGAAAGCGTGTTCGAATTATGACATTTCAAAAATAGCTAGACATATTTTTTATTATAATAAATATATATTTTTATTATAATAAATATATATGTGTATAAATATATATATATATATAAATATATAAATATATAAATACGTGAATCCTCTGCAGTTATTGCTTAATTATTATTTGCAAAGAGTTACTGAGGAATTTAATTATTATTTATGTGATCTTCATTATATTTATGTTAAAATTTAATATTTCAAATTATATGTATATCATGCAGGCAATTATAAAAGGTCAATCTTTTTAATTTATATCTTCTGAATTAGAAATAATTCTCAAAGACTTCTGTTAAATAATGTTTCTGTATTTATAAGATAACGCATAGTTATAATTAAAGTAGATTAGATTAAATATTAATTGGAATCAAGTTTTTTTTAATGTTGTATCATAGATGAAAAAATTATATCTTTGGAACAATTGCTTAGTGTAATTTTTTATTTGTAGTAGTAGATCACAAATACTACGATGAATGGGAAGAGGCCCTCCTCAATACCCTCTAGACATCAGCCAGAAACTCAATCGCAACATGGTGATTTGATTAATTATATCTGTGATTGTAAGTATATATAGATGATTTAATTTAATTAAGTAATTGTATATAAATTATACAAATATGTTGTTCTAAAAGAAGTTTATCATGTTTCAGCTTGGAATTCTGTATCTAGAGAGCTAGATATGTGTCACAATCAACCACATAGTAATTCCTCCAATTATAGAAATGGAGCATCAGTTACATATTATCAAGAACATGAACCAAATCCACATCTGAAAAGTAAGTATTATGCTTTCCTGATTTTATCTGAAAGTGACAAAACAGATCTTAATAATTTAAAGATTTAAAGATGTTTTTATATAAAGATTTATTTACTACAATTTCTTTTTTTCTTGATTATTTATCAGAAGAATTGTACAATAAGAGGAGACTCTCATTCTATTGAGATATTTAATTTTCTTGTATATATCTATATATTGCTTTAATATGCTATTACTGTTATTGTTTTTATACTATGCTATTTTTTGGTCTAGTAGTTTATTATCATCTAGTATGATGTTTTCGGTGGACATGTAGAATGCATCTCACATATTTTTACAGATTTTGAACCTTTCAATTTGGAGGCTTGGTGGGGACAGCGTGTTGTGCAAAGTATCACTAGGAATACAAATTCCTAGTGCCAGGCCCAACATGCTGATTATAATCGAACATTCTCAAACAGATATAAGAAACAAAAAAGATAAATTAGGAAATTACAATTTCGATTTTTTTATTTGTCAAATTTATTGTAAATTCAAAACTGATAAAATATGATAGTTTAGATATCTACTTATATATTAGGTATCTACTTATGTATTTCGATAACGTCTCTGAAATCTTTTAATAAAGAAAAGAGGGGAAAGCAGATAATAAGAAAAATAACTGACGAACTTAGCAAAAAATAGGAATCAGGAAACAGCTAAAAGAAAGAGAAATAATAATAATAATACAGAGATAGGCATATATTGCTAAGCGATTAATTTAAAACATGACGAAACATTCCCCTTATCTTCAATTGTATTTCAATGAAATATTAATTTTCTCTTGATCTTTTTATAAGTGTATATTCAACAGGAATTAGGAAGATAAGAAACTTTCTTGTTTCTAATATTGTCTTTGCAAAACTCAAGAGAGAAATTTAACAATTAAGAATATTACACCAAACTATTTATTTTAGCCACTAAATGATGCGTTATATGTTTATATATATATATATATATATATAAAATATAATGTATACTTTACTATGTCATATTTTCAATATTATTTAAAGAGAAACGATAATTATATATACATATATGTATATATACCTTTTTTATCTTCTTGCAATGTTGGGCGACATAAATCTGCTGCTCAATGATGCACAAAGCATTTACAACATGCTCAACCTTGTTTAATAAAAATTGCATAGACAAATTTTAGGAATTGTACCTTTTTAGGATATACACGTACATATACTTTTACACATATTGCATTTCACATTTCCAAGATTTTTCACTCTTACGTCCATAAAGTGATTGCACTTTAACTAAATAGCTAATATGTAAAATATAAATGAAAAAGTGTTTTCCACTTATCAAAAGAAATTTTATTAAGATATGAGAGATAGGAGATATCGCACTCGAAATTAATGATTATAACATGGAATAGTGTGATAGTTCTTGCGATTTCAAATACGATTAAATATATGTATATCGTATGTATACTTATATATATGTGTATGTATGTATATGTACATCTATGCATGTATAGCTATCATATAAGTTTAATCAGATAATGTTTCTAATGACAAAACAATAATGAGCAATGTCTTTCTACGCAAATGTGAATATTTCTTTCAGTCTCTATTTCCACACTTACTTATCCGCATCCTATCACACATAACATCATATATAAGAGTAAAATCTTTTACTAAATATATATTTTGTGTATTTTTGAAAAATATGGAATTTGTTAGTGTCTTGGTATGATTACTATTGCCAGGTTCAAATACCTCACATTCCATTCGAGAAACGTCACGCGAATAGTTTCCATATCAGTAACCCAATGCACTCGAAGAATTCATCGTTTCCCAGGAATTTCGTATATCTTATCGTTGTACGAGATTGACCTAGCTAGTATACAGAATATTATAATCGATTACTTTATTATAGATTCTTATAGTATTCTATATTCTGAGGATATTAAATTTTTCAGCGAACAAATATTTTAATATAAATATTTTAATAATTAATATTTTAAAAAATATAATATTAATTATACTAAAAGTGCTTTAAAATTTTATGCATATCGAAATAAGCATTACATTATTTTGAAAAATTAATTTTTGCACTTTGGAATTACGTAGGAGAAATGTTTTTTATTTATTTCTTTTTTTTATTAATGTAATGCATGCATGACCTAGTATACAAAATATTAATCGATTACAAATTTGTTCTAGATTCATATATTATATGTTCTAAGGATATTAAATTTTTCAGCGAAAAATATTTTAATAATTAACAATTTTAAAAATTTATATAATTTGAATTATACTGAAAGTGCTTTAAAATTTTATGCATATTGAAATAACAATAAGCATTACATTAATTTAAAAATTTAATTTTTGCACTTTGGAATTATATAGAAAAAATAATTTTTATTTTTTATTTTCTTTCTTTTAAAATATTTATTTCTGAGTTTCTTTCTTTTAATTAATGTAGTGCATGCATAAATGAGCATCAGAAAGGATAAATAGAATGTTAAGCAATTATTGCAATAGTTAAATTAGGTATGTCAATTAACATATGTAATAATAATTAAAGTTTTTGTTTTACATATCTGACAGTACATCATAAATAGTTTGAAATTGCGCGCGTTCGCCATGTTTGTAAGGCAACCACGTGACTTCCGCCAGTTCACATCCCCTCGCGCCAATTTGCGTTCGCGCCACAGTTGTCCAGACCAAAAGTATAATTGCTCCGTGTTTTTCTTGTTGTTAATCAAAAGTGAATTATGCATGTGTTGAACTGTCGGTTTTTGCACAGAAGGATGAGACTAATCATTATACTAAATCAGAATTCTTCTGAGGGATCTTTGTATCGTCGTGGATGACTTCCTGAAAAGATGCATTCCGCAGTGGTTAATCTGGTAGTTACAACTGTTGGTGAGTGAATTCATTTATTTTACTTGTGATTAATTGTGCAATTATCTGTACCTATAACATTGATTTGCGCGCATAATTTTGTTGCTTTATTACTTTTTACATTTTTATATGATGTAACTGTATGCTATATATGTACGTGATTATTCATTTTAACATAATTATTTATTGGTTATTTATACTCATGATGATGTGACATTAATTTTCATTCATAATATTTTAAAGAATATTTTCAATACATTTTTCAAATTTATAAATGAAAAAATGCAATTATATTTTAATATTTTTACTACATTAAAATTGATCAATTATTTTTAAAAAATCATTCATGTTACACATGTATATATTATTCGCATTTTACGCGTATAAGTATATGCGTGAATAAAATTTGCGAAGAGGTTTTACGATAGTTTCACGATATTTATAGTCTATACTATAGTTTTACGATAATTTGTCAAATGTACTCTTCGTTTAAAAGGGCGACTCTTATTTTTATGATTATGCACCCATAACTATTAAAATGTATCTTACGAAGTAAAAAGAAGCACAAATATACTATACGTATATATTTCTTATTAAAAATCTAAATTTCGACGAATATGTTGCAATTTGATAAATATGTACTGTGTGTATGTATTTTTATGTGTGCATGTAACCACATATATATACATATACAGACATGCATATCAATTAAATTGCATCTTGCAAATATTTGTCGATATTTACTTCAAATAATAATATTTCTATTACCTTTACCTATATTATATTCCAGAATATTTTTAACTGAACGAAATTAATTATCTTTATTATATTCTTTATATTATTTTCATTTTATTCATTATTTTATACGAGGCTGACCGAATTTAAAAATATTAATGTAAATATTAATTTTAAATGCAAAAGGAGTAAAATATTTTTATTTATGTATGTCTAATTCTGGGGGAATATCTGATGTCGTACAGAAAGTTAACGGAAACGACGTTGCATGACTAAACTTTCCTATTGGAAACGCTATAGAGTATTGTACAATTGCACCATGCCGATCACGACGTTTTCGTCTCACTCAGGTTTGTCCGACGTAAGCGCGAGAGCTTGAAATGGAAACCTCGGGGACAGATACAGCGAACGTACCGTGTATATGCGATCGTTCCATCGAATAGCAATCGAAGATTATATCGATTTGATCGAAATTCACGCTATCCCAAGGAAGTAACGGCACCACTGTGTGCACAATCGTATCTTTTTATTTTCTTTTTTTTTTTTTGGAAAAGAGCGAAAAATGTTTTTTCGCAAAAACTCTCTCAGGAATAGAATCTTAGAAATCGTTTCCGAAGCGAGAAAACATTTTACACAAATTTACATAACCTTCTTGAGCAATCTATTAAACAATGTTTTTACTTGCATAGAAATTAATGAACTTTATTGAGGAATAATAAAGAACTGTAAAACTAATATACCTAGTTGCTAAAGAAAAATACTTTGTGCTTTGGAAAACTGCAAAAAATACCGAAACAAAACGATAATAATTTTAGACATGATTTAAAATATAAACTTTTTACAATATTTACAACATAACTTTATAAAATATAATTTAAAATACACGCGGAGAATTTTTCTTAGAATTTATCCTAAAAATCATGGTAATCGTGGGACAATAGGTATGTTATTGGAAAATTTTATAAAAGTTTCTTAATATTATATTTAAAAAAGAATTTAAAAACTATTTTCTTAATGATTGTGTCAGCATTTATATAAGAAAAATAAATTATTCTCATGATAAAAGACTAATGCATCATTTTCATGATCTATGCATTATAGAGAAAACGTAAAGAATAAAATAAAACAAATACATTATCTTTGTATTTTTCAACATGCCGTTTTTTTCCATTATTTTTGTCTGAAAATTTGATGCAATAAAGATGTCAAACAAAATAAGATTGAGCTATAATAATTCAAGACTCGTAAAATTTTTGCATTAACTTAAGGTCGTTTCGCTTGGGCATACTTTCTTTGTCATTTCGCGATAAAATGCACTTATGACAAATAATGCATGACAAAAGTCTGTAAATATTTATCGTCATTATAAATTGAAAATAAAAAATGTTTATAACATTTTCAAAATATACATCTGCTATTAACATGAAATGGTATATACATTATATAAATTATAAATTGAAGTAATTATATAAATTATATATAAAACAGAATTTATTTTTATTTTTAACAATAAGACATATCATCACTTTTATGCCAAATGCATTTATTACCGAATAACTGGGATGTAATTTCTATAAGTTTTGTGGTTAATCATGGTCACGGAATTGCTCGCAATATTGTAGTAACATTCACATCAGCTTTGGTGAAATTGCAGATTTTATCGGTCGCCTGTCAAAGATAAACGATATATTAGATATGACGGCGTCTAGCCGACGCAATCGTTATGCTTTACTTTCCGTCCGTGCTTTACGTCCAACCGTTTTATGCCTCACATGGCAAGATTTTATTTAGAAAATTACGGTTACAACTCCTCTGTGACCCTAAGAAATTATATCTTTTACATTTTATCATCTGTCGATTTTTGTTCCTTGTCATTTAAGTAAAAAAAGCTCACGGCCTCGATAGTTATATGACATATCAAACCGAATTATC